GTCCATATATGAGATACCATATGTATCATATATGAACGTACATGATAATGTGTTTGTCATATATGACAGTATATATGACAAATACATTATCATATACGATCGTATATGATAATGTGTTTGTCATATATACTGTCATATATGACAAACACATTATCATATACGATCATATATGATACATATGGTATCTTATATATGGACATTTTTCGTATATGAGCATATATGATTATATATGATCATATGTGAAAATTTTTTCCCGGGTACGAAAGTAATCTTGAGCGAAAAATGTGTTGAGCCCTGGCGAAATATATATCGAATCGGTTCTATACATAATCGATACCAAAAGACTATCCTTATATAACGAGTCTTACCTCGAAAGGCAAGGTGAAACGGATGAAACAACGACTTCGTCGTTGGAAATTGTATAAATTTCGCTTCTTATTTTACTTTAGCCGGGGTAAAGGACGTGAAATGAGACCCGCAAAGTGAACCCCGGCACGGAATCTAAATGCAAACGATACGCGTGTGCCACGAGCAAATGGTAGGAGTAAAGGCTTTATCATTCCTGTACGTTAGTCTCTGGTCTTGCCACAAAAGAAATCCACCAAACGACACGATACAAATTTACCTCCGACTCGATTAACTTTTAATTTAACAGTCAGATATACACGTACAATAAAAGCGCGTGTTTCGCCGCAGGCTGGCGTACGCGGAACCTTGCGGAAGATGCGTCGACGTCGCTTTTTCCGCGGCAAGATTCCAATCTTCGTCTTATCCGCGTCCATAACGTGCCTCGCTAACAACACGTTGGGACTCGATCCTCGTCTCGGATCAATATATCCGGACACGGAGCCGGCGGCATGTCGATGAGATACGAATGCTCCAACGCGCGCGAACGTTGCGCCGCGACTCCGCTCGCATAGTTGAGAAGCTAATCACGGATTTCCTAGACAGTCGTAAAATCCTTATTAGGTATTCGCCCCGGCCCCTACCGTAATCCACGGCGGAACTATAATATCGTGCTAATATTATGCATGGTGAATCGCGCAACTCGATATTCGCATGCCACACGTATTACACCGGCGCGGCGCGGCGCGGCGCGGCACCGGCGTGCGCCCTTGTCCGGTCATAAATAAGGAGCGAAGTAGTATTAGCCGGTAATAAGCTCCTCCGAGTTTTACGAGGGAGAGGATACACTCGCGAATAAACCGATCTGAAGCGGCTAATTCATTTACGCGAGGGGATTTATGTGCGGCGGGGCAGCGTTCCGTGAACCCTCTCTCCCCTCGCGACGTCTGTATTATAGAGACATACGTGTTTTGCCGAGTAAATGGTACCGCCCTATCGTACAATTTGCAGCACGTACGTAATATAGATTGGAGGGAGTGATTCCTCTCTCCTTTTTTTTCCCCGGGACGACGTGTCAGCGCGAATTTGTTTTCATACCCTTGCAAATGCGCGCGGCAGTCGCGATATCGACCGGCTGACTAATTGCGAGGGGCTTTTCCGGGGCGTTCGCGGAGACGCGATAATCACGAGGAGCACGAAAATTTCCGTCCGCGAACGCGTGCTGGATATAATTGGATGTCCAGAAAAATGGCAGCGTTACCCGCGATATTTTACAGAAACCGCTTTCAGCCTCTTCGAGGCCCCGGGAAAGAGATGCTAGGATAGACTTCGTGAAACGAACGAATGAATTCTTCCACGTCGCGTGATATTTGTTATTACATCGATCGTCAACCGTAGCCGTCCGCCAATTGTTTCGTGCGTTAATTAATTAAATTTAAATTCCAAAGCCGGGGGAATCCCGCGGCGACGCAGGACTCGCTTCATAAGTCATTAGGAAGCCGAAGCGAAGATTAATCTGTTATCATTTTCAATATATAATCATCGTCGCAAAATTAATTACTTAATTCTTCACGTTGCAATCAACCTGCACTTCATTAAGGGGATCCTAAAGCCGCTGGCGAACTCGATCAGTGTCGATAAAATAGGAGATGGAATTAAAAATTATCGACAATTATCGACATTTTTAATTCCAAGTTCAAAGTTTTTTAATTCAGTCCGAGAAAATTATAGCCAATCAATTTGCAATGATGTTTGGCAGCGACCTCTCTCAAAAAAGCCTGCAACTATTTCTACACGCCATACTGCTCTTCTAGACTTGGATTTCTGGTACTTGCGTTTATTAGAAGCAATCTTTTTTTCTAGGTCATTAATCTTACAATTAGTTCTATCGTAATTGCACGATATTGTTCTTATATGTTGTCCCTAGAGTATGCTGGTCTCATTTTGTATATATTTATTATAGAATTCTTGAATCAAGCAATTATTGTCATCAAGTGTACAAAAATTAGTAAAATTAAAATTTCCTCCCTTTTTGATATAAAATCAACCAACGTAGTTTAGATTTTGCTGCGTACTTTAATTCCGTAAAAGAGTTTTGCATTTCTATAAAGCCAATTAAAAGATCACTTCGAACGAAGCATGTCGATAAAACAGACGGCTTTAGGATCCCCTTAAATCTTATCGCAATTCTGTATCACACGATGCTCCTATCGACTTTTAACTAAACGACCTCGCCTCTCGATCGTCTCAGTCGTATCGCGTAAGGGCCTGAGCTGTCTTGTATTAAGTCACAACAGAGTTATCGTGCGTTACTTTAAGTAAAAGATTTAAAACGTAAAACACTGTCTTAAGAGTACATGACAGCCATTCTGCCCTAACAAATGCGTAATCTTGACACAATGCATCTTCGCGCGCGAGCGTCCAAGCGCACTCTCCCCTACTTTCGCTTCCGGAATCGGTCAAAATAATTCTCCTCGGGAGGGAATTTAATTTCCAGAACACGCGAGACATCTCCACCTATCCATCCAGCTATCTATCCGGTCGACCCCGTCCGAAGTCCCCGCATATGCGCGTTTCCTCCCCCTCCCCCTTGTGCGCGAGGCTCGTGCGGGGGAGGGACGGTATTAAGCGGCGAATTCTTGGCGACGTTCCGGGGGTTGCACGGCGGCACAGTATTTTCCCTCGCCGAGCGACGAGTACCTGTCCGTTGGCTCTGCCGCCGGAGCTCGACGTGGGACGTACCCGTAGGACCTGCGCGTTCCGCCGGCCTGGCGGTTCAGTCGCTTCTACCAAGCGGCACTCACGTTCCGCGTCCGGACCGCACGCGCCTTTGCCGCGCGCGCGAGACCATCCTCGCTCTCTCTCTTCCTTCCGCTCTCGCTCTCCCGGCGACCGCAGCATCCCGCTGTGCCCGAGAGCCTCCGGATCAATCGCGGGGATTCTCCGCGGGCTGGAGTCGCCCGCAGAGGGTGTCTCGCTCGAATCGACGAGGCTTCGAGCGATAGATCGCTCGCCGAGCGGAGAAAGCGGGCTCGTTCGTCGCGGCGCGGAGGCCCGGCGAGATTAACAGTGTTGTGAGGGGAACGCCGGCGTGTTTGACAAGTGTTCAGTGAGCCAGAGATCTTTCGGTTTTCAGTTAGTGCTACGTGCGCGAAGGGGAGCGTTGGTCCTCGTGGAGCGGCGAGACGCAATAGGTGAGTCTATCGCTTTCATCCACGGCTGAAGCTCGAGTTTCTGCCTTCACGACTTCGACAGTCTCGATCGCGATGATCCGGTGGTAAGGTTCGCGCGCCGCGAGCGAGATTTGCGTCGGGAAAGTGCCGCTTCCCACGACGACCCACGTTGACGCGGACGACTCGACGGATCACGTGTATCACGTCTTTCCTCGGTAAATCGCCTTTAGCGGCCTCGAACGACCTTACGCGAAGACACAGTACCGGCCAAAATTGTGTCACCTTTCGGGCTTTCTGAACGTAACTGTCGTCAAAGTGCGTCGAATGTGCTCAAAATTTTACAGTAGACACCTGGCAACAGGTACGTCTTGTACACGAAGGGTAGTGAAATTTGACAAAATACACCGTCATCTTCCAATTTTTCATTCGCGCCCTTTGAAACTAGTTACGCTCGAAAAATGCAAAGGTGATATATAATTTTGGCCGGTACTGCACATTTGTATAGTTATTCACGGACGTGACGAGTGGAGGCGGAGGAGAGATTTTCTCTCCCCTTCCTTCATGATCCGTTGACTCTTCAGTCATGTTACTGATGAGAACACTGGCGTCGAATCAGCGTCGAATCGACGTCGATGGGGTCGAAACCGCGTCTCAACCGTCAGTTTTGGAAAATAATTAACCTTCGGAACTTAATTTTTTGAGACGCCCGCCCAGAATGTGGGGAGGTCCAGGTTCAAACCCTGGCTGAGGTAATATTTTTCGCAATAAATTTTTTCTATTATTAAAAATGCCAGGTACGATCAAGAAAACACTGACGTTGTTAATTACCGCTGGCGACATTGAAGAATATTCTGATTGGTTTATTTTTTGTCTTAAATTACTATGTTCAATGCTCTGAATACTTTTAACATCTCGTTGGGGAAAACTGCCGAGTTAACTCGTTTAATTTTTAATACAAAATTTAATACAAGAAATAAAGTTCCGAAACTTTTAATTATTTTCGAAAACTGACGGTTGGGACGCGGTTTCGACCCCATCGACGTCGACTCGACGTTGATTCGACATTAGTGTTCTCACTGGGTACACGATTATGCGTAAAGTTTGACGTATCGCGGGCGCTCAGGCTGGTGGTCCAATTACAAAGATTCGCTTATCGCCCCGCGAAAATCATACACATCGTAAAATTAATTTAGTTAATTACACGACGCGATACGGGCCTGACGTTCGAACGCAGATCGCGGCTGGCAGATAAGCGTCGCGATGCCAAAAAGCGATTCCAAGTGGGCAAAGTCAATGTGTGTCGTCCTCTTTTCGCAGCTGATGAACGTGATACGTCACAATCGATCATCGCGCGTCGCGACAACGTCGTCCAAGTGGCGGAAGTGCATTTCTTTCTCTGTCGCTTACGGGTGGCGGGTCTCGTATCCGCGAGACAAGCAACTCCCGTAGGGTTAATCCTAGAACTGTTTAGGGTTCGTAATTAATCCCGTCATCGATCGACAATTCACGCGCTAATGACTGGTACGAATTAACCCCTTGCGCGCGCGCGCGCGCGCGCGCGAGCTCGTACGCGCATCGCAGTGTGCGATGCACTTCTAATTATTGCGCTGCCGCTTTCCTCCCTCTGGGATCTGTGCAAGCTTAAAGCCGCAGGACGCGCGTCATACATTATTCTCGAATCTTCGTTCGCCGACGAGAGTAGGTGGTTTTAACCATTCCACCCTTGGTTACGGCAGACTCGGTCGTCTATTAATAAGGAGGGAGGATCACCGAGCCGCCTTTGTTATCAAGCATCATGTCGCAGTATGAATTGCGGCAGTTCGACTCCGAGCCACTGAAGCGGCTGCCGTAATGAATGGCCGATAGTTAGGTGCTCGCGGAAATATCAGCGCGTTCCATTCCGACTCTCCGGCCATCTCCCTTCCATGGATGTCACCACATTTCTTATATAAAATAGTCTCTCCCTCGCTCTTTGTTATTTAATTTTAATTGCAATATGGTCTGAGTTAAGCTTCAAATATGTCAATAAGAAATTTTGGAATTGTGAAACCAAATTGTACACTAGGAATCACTGATGCCTCCCCATGTGAATTTAGGCACAGGTAGAACACACACACATTTTCCATGTACGTATATGCAAAATGTATAGACGTGTCGATATGTGCCTAAATTCATATGGGAGGCATCAGTGATTTCTAGTATACACTATTCTTTTAAGGAATCCAACCCCAAGATTAAAAGATTTAATGCAGCATTTTTTTTAACGCGAGCGAAGCATTGTAAGCAAAAAATTGGCGATAACGCAGCACGTAACATCTACGTATTAATCGAGAAAAAGTAGGCGGGTTATTGCGAATTCAGCGAGAGGTGATGGTTTGTTAACAACGAAGAGTTTCGGTGGATTAGCCACTTGATAATTAAGAGCATGTGTTTTGCAAAATTACAAGACAGCCGGCTGGTCGAGCGAGTTAATTAACATGGGGTATGAACGCATTCATCAGGAATACATACCCAGTTCGAAAATCATCACTCTCAGTAGCGGAACATGACGCTTCATCCTAATTACATTATGGCTGACTAACTACGAATGCGTTCCAAATTCGGGATTTCGGATCATCGCGTGCGCATCAGTGTCCGAATTAGACAGGTTTCGTGAAAGGGCCGAAAGGTACTTTTTCATTTTAATTCACCTGCGAGCGTGCTGCAAAAGATTGCGGTGAAATTAGTTGCGATATGTGTAACGCATAATTAAATGCAATATGCGTAAATGTAAAATGTAATAAACACCGCATTAAATTGTTGGCTTTGTCGTTGTTGGCTCGCAATAGAGTCCGCCGTTATGTTATTATCACGCCCTTTGTAATATTATTAACGGAACACGAGTTCTCAACGCTGTATTAATTAAGTGATATTTTCGATTTTACCCCGTAAAAATCTCGAGAATCGAACTAGTTGAAATGTAAAGCGGGGAATATATGAATAAGTTAGAGGAAGTGTCTCTCCCTTCCGAAAACTGTTCGCCTTAATGTGGACGAGAGATCATCAAGGGATTGACAATCGATCTCCTAGGATCAGCGTAGCACCGTTTAAAATTCAAATGGTAGGAACGACGGCTGCGTTACAGCTACGACGACTGCGACGATGTAACATCGGCATTGGGGTAAAGGAATATAAATGAGAATTATAATGCATTTAGATGCGAGGTAAGAGCACGAAGCGCATTATTGAACATTTCACATTTCGACCACGAGCCTATTTTGATCGATTCCTATTTTGATCTAGTGTCATTTGACATTTAATCGGTTTTTTTAGGCGAGTAAGAGAGAGTGAAAGAGAGAGGCAGATAGTCAGACAGACAGAGACAGAGACAGAGAGAGAGAGAGAGAGAGGGGGAGGGGGATTAATAAATAAATAAAATTCAGATAAAATGAAGAACGCGAAGATGGGATTGATTGAATGGAACAAGCATTTTAAACACCGTGTGCAAGTCTTGTTATGAATTCCGACATATCGCCAGAATGGCGCACCTAGTTCCGCGTATGTATATAAAATATATTTTCAATTAACTTTTCGATCCGAACGGATCTGAATGCACGGCCGTTCCCACCGTAACGTTCCGGAACACCTTACTTGCGTTAATCGAAGAATCCAGGCGGCCCGAATATATAAAAAAAAGAGTCACGCGCGCGTAACGAGAAAGAATCGAGTGCGTCGCGCGTCGTTCATTCCGCGAGTACTCGCCTCGTGAAATGAGAAAGGGGCGAGGCGGGAGTGGGAAGATGCATACAAAAGATGACTTACGCGGCACGTATACGCGGGGGAGCGCACGGAGATTCATGAACTGATTTCGAACAAGCGCCGCGACGTCGTAGCTGCGCGGCATTATACGTCGCACGCGCGCGGCATCCGCCGTGCTCGCATTTAAAACAATCTCACGCGACGTAAGTCGCCTGTCTCGGGTCGGAAGGCGGAATTCACGAGAGACGTATATGAGATTGCGCCGCGGGGGAAGAAATACGTACTGCCAACCGACGGCCATGACGACGGGGACGACGGAGGGCGCTGGGCTCTCGCCGTCATCCCGGGCGTGCGGGAAAGTCCGCGAAAAAATTCGATAGTTTCATTCCGCTTTTACGGCGCCGTAACAGCGAAGATTTCATCATCGCGGATACGGACGGGGAAAAGACGCCGGTGGTTGGGGGCGACGGAGGGACGACGGCGAGGATCAGTCGGGTGGAAAGCTCTTTCGGGGCGAAATACACGCAGCTATGCAAATATCCGGGGTCGAGCATTCGAGAGGAGCGGGATATGCATCTGCAGAGGGCGAATGCCGGTATCCGGCCTTATACGCGGGCTACAAGTAGCTCGTAGCGGCCGATCGAACCTGCATCCATCGTCGTCGGTATTTCATAAGATCGGGCGCGGAATCGATCGCGGATCGGAAAGAGCGGGGTCGGTTGGTTGAGAATAAAAAAAAGAGCGACGAGGAAGGATCTTTGGATAGCGGCGAGTTAAACAATAAAGATGCCGATATCGCCTTGCCCTTCGACTTTCGTCCGTGGGATATTCTTTTTTACAGCCGGCGCGATAATTATGGAAATGACGGCGATGCCCCCGCGGACGTGTTTGATCACATATAGACCTGGATAATGCTCCCGGGCGACGGCGGCGGCTGCGCCAATCGCGTTTTTGCGCCTAATCGCATATCCCTGGGAATTGACTTAACGTCGATTTCCTATGCAAATGTCCGGGCCGTGTCCGAGACGCATAGTGATTCGGGCAATGCGTTTAATCGTGATCTACATAGGTCCTCCTTCGGTAGGCGGATCCCAAATGTGTTCTCGTAACTTCTAAAAACCGGTTAGGTAAAAATAACGTCGAGCCCAGTTTGGGCAAAAAACTTTCTTTTACCCTTATATCTTACTTCAAATTGAATTCCCAATATTTCATTCCTATTTTCATCTGAATGTGTCCGACGTAAAATAAACAAGAATAAGAATCCAAGTGTGTCAGGTGGCAAT